ATGAACATCATCATCATTATCAACACCATCATCATCTTGAACACCATCATCAGCAACGCCATCATCATCAACATAATCACCATCATCGTCATCACCATCATCATCACCATTATCATCATCATCATCTCCGTCATCATCATCACCATCATCATCAACATCAGCATCGCTATCATAGACAACCACTCACTTGCGCTGCTTCTTTTCCAGTTCAGAGTTTCGTGTCTGTTCGTCTTCAAGCAGTAGTTTTAAGTCCTGCATCTCCGCATTGATTCGCGAGGACTTCTTTTTAAGTCCAGTAACGACCCGTTGTAGTTCATCGTTCTCTGCCTTCTCATCTGTTAACTAAATAAAACACATCAGTGTAAGTTAACGTTAGATAGAACGTCGTAGGACATGGAATCGAAACCTAAGGAACTTAAGGTGACACTAATCTCTCTATCGTGCATCACATGCTAGTAGAGTTCAAGGGTTCAGCTCTTTAACCTCCAAGAGGTAAGCGCCTAATATTATGGTTTGTCTAGATTTTGTACCCATTCATACTTACCTTTCTTTCCAAATGTCTCTTCTGGTTGGTTAAATCTTCAATCTCTTGCTCTGATTCGCCCTGGATCTTTCGTCGAAGTTCTTCATGTTGACGGGAAGCTTGAATATACCGATCACGATAGAACGTATCTAAAACAAGATAAAACGTTTTTTAACAATGTTGGCGTCACGCAATGATGTCACGAGATAATTATTCCATGCCGTGACTGTGTCGTATCACGAATGATTTAATGATAGACAATATTACACAAAACAATTATTAGCGGTTCAAATTTGTTCATGAATACTTGTAGTATCAACCCCCCCCCACTAATAAAGGAACACGTGAAGGAATGAGATCCATTTCCGAACCGCCTTGCAATTCCGGATGCATCCAATAGAGGCTTTGCACCAACTGTTTTACATGAGAAAGAATTCAATTCCCGAGAGCAAAGGGATTTTATTGTTCTGCCATCTAACCACAGGCAGCCCAAGTTATATTGTGTGCCCTGGCAAGTGATGTTACAATGTCTCTGTAAGAATCGAGGTTAGATATTCGGATCAATTTTTTTCAAGACGCTCACATATTGGTTGACGACGGAAGAAAGCGATAGCCAACGCCTTATATCGAGTATTCAACATCATTGTCAAGCTTCTTGTTCATGATACTCTCGTTTAACCATGAGGCTCGAGGTGCTATTTTACCTTCTTCTTCGTCGTCTTCATCATTAGACGCTCCTTCTCCTTCGTATCGTTCTAATCGTTCTAGTTTAACGATAGGTCGAGTAGCAGACGAAGCGATAGCTTGGGCTTCCAGGAGGTTAGTCTCGAGTTTCTTATTCTTCTTTTCGATCTCCTCGTAAGATTCCTTCAACACAGAAATATCCGTGAAAATAAAGAACCGCTTGTAATGATTATATTAATCACAAAGAGAGGGGCGAAAATCTCTCTCAACCAGTTTGAAATCATTATTTGTTTGTGTGGATAGAGCCTTTTACTTTGAATGTTCTAACATTTAAGACCTCATAGGATTGATGAGTGATGTGCGTATACACCTGGGTAAGGTTGTACAAAGGGTGGATTGCGCTATCCAACGGATAAATCTTATCCAGGGTTATAAATTTATTGGATAACAGCATATCCACTGGATAAAGATTTATCCGAATGAATGTTATGACAGTCGCAAACATACGTACACTGTCACCCAATCACAGTCACGGCCCGTCAGTGACGGTCACATGTACAGCACGGTCAGTCAAGGTGATATTTACAGTTACAGTACATATCTGCAGTCACATTAAATCATATTAAATCATGTATAATAATAACCTGTAGTTCTTGTAGAGATCTTTCTAGTCTCATTCTCTCCATCGATTCTTCTTCCAGTACTTGACTAGCATGGTTCGCTGTAGCGCGATCTTCAGCTAAAGCATTCGATAACTCTGATACCTGAATAGATAGAAAAATATACCAGTGAATACTTTGTAGTTGGTTACTATGACAAAACTTCTTGATGGGTGTTTGGGGGAGGGGTGGGGATAGAGAAAGAAAGCGACTTTTCCATTACCCTCTCCTCCTCCTATAAAGAAAAAAAWAATAATAATAAACATTTTCTAGGGATATAGAAGTTCAAATCCAAACAGACTTAGATAAAATATGCCACGTGTACTAGCAGATGTTACTGAACCTAAGCAAGGAATATCCTAACAAAGAAATCACTAGCCACAAAATGTTATCTTGTCTAATATTATCCTAATAATCACTAATAATATACATTATTTTTATGCCGCAGTAGGAACGACAGTTGTGACAATTGCGCACTTTGACCTATATTCCTAATTCTAAGTTTCATTGAAAAAACGACGTTCAACAATTAATCTTAAATTCAAAATAAATGAATATGTACCGAATAGCATGTTGTTCGTTTTAACCCTACCTTTAAATATCCATAATTTTTGTAACAGAACGAAGAAAAGTATAGAATTCGGCAAGAAAAGTTAGAATTTACGCTTACAACGAAAAGGAAAGACGACGATAAAAAATGACAATAGAGTGACCGGAATAAGGCACGGCTAGACGCCACGAGAGCTATGAATAATTCCTTTTACAACGCGGTAAGACGCGCGTTATTTTGACATTTCGTAATTAAAGACAGACTATTGTTTAGTCTGGCAAGTCCGTGATAAGGGGATAATCTTGATAGAAAAAAACCACTACTGGTTTGGGCGAGGATTTAATATAATTGATCAGCAGGATAGCGACAGCAAAGGGAGGAAGAAGAAAAGAAAGTGCTTTTTGATTGGTCGAAATTAGCCTCGCTGCTTTTTGATTGGTGGAGATTAGCCTCGGTGCACGCAGAGAAGACGCCATATAAGTAGTGTATCAAAGCGTCGACAGCTCCATGATGCAGCGCGTTCTACAACTCCGAAAAGCGTGTCAGTTTTTTTTAAAATTATTATTTAGACGAAAATATCTTCATTATATCGAAAGAAAAAAACCAATTCAATCGCTTATGAAATTATCGTAATGTGCGATGTTTAGGGAGACATATTCCAGTCGCATCTATCAAAGGGAATACTAACTTACTCAGAAACAACCTTCATAATGTACTGAGATACACATTACACTCTGGTTATTATCACAGATCATTTGGCCTTTGAGTTGGTCTTCGTTAGTGCTTTTAAAGTGCTCTCGTAAACAACCTAGAAATAAACGTTCGATCTCCAAAGAAAGGTTCTTCTCAGACTGGGAATAATACCAAACAATCTTTAAGCCTATATGCATGATATTCAACCACTCAGTCCTAAATGACAAGTCGGTGTAATAGCCCTCATTAGGGAGGGAGGGGTAGGGAAATCCTTTTTGCTACTAGCAACCCCTCCCCTCTCCCCTTAAAAAAGACTTACCTTCTTTTCGAGTTTTTCATTTATCACAGCGTATTCTCTGTTTTCATTTTCTAGCTTGACGATCTTTGCTTTTAACATTTCCACCTCGCCCTAGAATAATCAACCATCGAATCAGTAAAACATTGGCAACGACACAGAGAACAGAGCAGGACAGGATGTGTAGATCACTTACTGTTTTGGATTGGAGTTGTTCCTCTGTACGATGTACGTTCAGAAGCGGTAATACCTGCGATAAATCACAACATCGAACATCAAAACATATCGAACATCAAAACCATCAAATTCTATGGTGGTGGTGTTGGGTAGTGGTGGTGGTGGTGTTGGGTAGTGGTGGTGGTGGTGGTGCTAGCAGTGGTAGTCATAAGTCTAGTGGTAGTGGTGATAGTAGTGGTGGTAGTGGTGGTGGTAGTGGTGGTGGT